ACGTCAGTCACTTCATCGTTACTACGTAACGTTGTGCAATGTTGAATTTACATGTTCTGAGCATGATTCATCGTGTGCAAGTGAAACGTATAATATAAAGCACACATCCACATTCAATCCAATCGTTATTCACTAGACAAACCGGCTGTTGTTCGCTTACAAGCCTACGGCATTTCTTCTTAGCAGTGGAGCTTCCATCTTTTACAATGACGTGAACAGTCCTTCTAGAATCAATTTGTCTCGACGGCCTCGATATGAGGACATTCCCGACATAGCAGAAGATTTCATATGAGAAGATTTCATTCGTATCGTTTTTTGTTCTCTTGGCATTAAGACATATTCCTTCAATGAACTCCCACATAGGAGGAGTATTTTGCTATTCTTATTTTCTTATTTAGACATTCGAGCGATTTCGAGCTATGGAAATGTAACATTCAGGAGTCGACGTTACGTTAGCATCGCACTGATTATTCGTGAAAAAAACTGACTGAGTATTTCCTGGCCGTATGCAGACAGTTCAAACAGTGTTTTGCGTCATCACTTAAATTCATTTCCATATTGTATTTTTTCCGTCAAATGATGGTTTTGCTCTTCAGTGTTGTCACCCGTACCCATATTGTTATTATCAGAAACAGTAATGCCTCAATATGTGGACAATATCAGTGTGCCGAGGTTTGGACGCAGACGAGCCAAGGACATCAAAATATATCACACAAGAAAATGGTTAGGATTTCTTGGTTTTTAATGTTGCCCAATCAAACGTTTGTTTTCCGCATTTATTCTATAATTTGGACACAGCTGATCGAGTAAAAACTTGTTTCTCGATTGTAAACGAATCATATTGCCTATTGATGATGAGCCAGACTCGCTGACGAAGTCCGCGTGACTCGACCAGTGAATCTATTTTCTGTGCTTCCTTTTGTCAAGGATTACGAACTCTCATTTGTGCTCATTCTTAACACAGTCACCTTTCTTCTTTAACACATTTTTTCTGTGTTAAGAATCAACACAAATGACAGTATTTTTACTATTCATCAAGTTTATAGAAAGAGTTGTGTTGATTTTTTGTTGATACTCACCCATAACTCGATTAAGCTTTCAGCCTTTATGGTCCAACTTTGATCTCAAAATTCGTCTGGAATCAGGACAGTGATTACCAGTGGTACGACCACTACGATGCACAACTTGGACTGTTCAAAAAAGATGTACTGACGTTTTCTTCATCCAAAATTCATTTGAAAACTATGACGAGAAGAGTGGTCGTCGAATATTGAACATTATTCCGTGTTACATCTTGCGTCTCCCCTAAGTTCTCATAATGTGTTTTCATCACTGCATTTCGTGACTGTTAAGAAGCAAATGACTATCGCTGAGATTTTTTGGAGCGTTGGTCTCATACACTGCTTGTCAGTTGGTTGTTAATCTCTGAAGTTCGAGAAATTCTTTTAGAATGATCAGTCTTGCGGTATTGAGCTCACATCAAAAATCATATCAATGAGTGCTATCGAATGAGTGTGCACACTTTCAGCAACATATATATCCGTCATTAGTTGCGGCCAATAAGCTGCCTTTGCCCACATTCGATCACCCGTATTCAGTTAATAAACATCGACGTTGGGAAATTATGGCGATGGCAAGCAAATCGATCAAGTCTTTTCAGGTTTCTTTGAATTTGATTCACCCTCTTATCACATCCTGTCGAAGTATTTCAATTTCATGATTTCCACACATCGTGATTTATCTTCGACTTACGTATTCCTAGATGAGAACTGATACTTTCAGAGGCCGGATGTTGAACTGCGAGTGACCGTATTGGATAGAGTGTTGCCGTACATGCATCGATACGTGAGTGTAGCGCCCGAAAACACTGTGGATTACGTGACTTGCTTCGATAAACTCAGTGCAGTGCATTTCTGCGATGCAATAGACCACAAGGAAGTGCATTTGCATGCACGTAATATGATACTGGGTGACCTTTTGTATAGAGATCATGTTGACCCAGTCAAAAAAAAGAAACGCTTTCGTCGTCGTAAATATCCACATCTAATTGCGAAAAGAAAAACACCGAAGCCAGTCGCTGATGATCAACGTCGTACGCACATTTTTATCACTCAACATTCGTTCAGTAAAAGCATCCGACAACTTAACATGCAACGATACATGATCCCAAGCATTGTTGATCAAGTGACACGAGCGTACAATTCAAGACGAAAGAATAAAAAATTGTTCAAAGAAAAGAAGAAACGACACGAACCACATCGCCGTTCTCAGTACCATGAATACGGTGGTTATCGCTCGTATCAGTTGTGCAAGAAGGATATCCGCGTCAAGAAATGTGCCCTTAGGAAGCGATTGCTGTGTGAGATTGATGAAGATGCCGTTGAGATGGGCAATGGAATGTCACTGGGATCAGACATCACTGAATTTGATCACGAACTGGATCGATTCGACGATACTGAGAACGTGGACAAATCCGAATCGTATGATGAAACGTTTGAATGGAAACCTCGGCAACTATCATTGGGTGACTTTTTGGAGGTGTTGAAATGCAAACAAGAACATAAGGACTCACTGAGTAAAAAGGTAGTTTCCTTGGGATTATCTTCTCCAATAATGACACTTTTTGTGGATTTCACGTATAAGGTTTTCATTTCTACTGAGGACCGCTGTATGCGTTCGTCGTTCGAGCCATGATTCATTTAAGCAATTCGAGTGCTTCAAGAAATAGCGATGTTTTTGATGAATAATCATATCAAGAAGATAGCATCAACTGATACTCTGAAGTTTCTTCCGAAGTTGCAGTTGATTCTTATCCAAATTTTCAGATGCAGCCGGTAGAGCAGTCTGCAGAATACGACTGCTGGTTGCATTCTTCACCAGCAAAAGAAGCACTGGCAACGGATGTTGAAGAATCTGAGCAATCGCACGACATGAACAATAATGAAATCGAAATTGTTGAACCAAAGCCTTTGACCAGTTTCATCGTTGACCTCAGCAAAGAGCAACAAGCCACATATGCTGAGAAAGATGTCGCAATAATTGCCGAACGACTGATGCCCAGATCAAACGAACTCTTCGGTATTATACCGCCAACGTTCTTCTCATCACTCAACGATATATCGGAGGAATTGAAATCACTCCTACCTCAGTTGGACGATCATCTTGCTGGTTTCATTTTCATGAACAAGATCTCTAATACGTATGCGGAGAATATCACGCTAAGGTTTCTTTCAAATTCTTCTTCCATGATTGTCATTCCTTCATTTTGAGCGTTCTTCCTTCTGATCTCTGCAATTGTTAGTTGTTCATACGACTTTCTTGAATGTAACATTAGTTTCACTAGAAATGTAATTTCAGATTCATACTCAATTCGGCAGATGACACCTCAGAAGTGGAAGAATCCTCATCGTCTTATTCACTCAAACTACAGACCTCCTTGTCACGCTTCATTCCATCTGATTATTTTGTGTCCTCATCAACCATTTATAAACCGCAGTTTGCCGATAAAATCGCGTGTGATCAACTGCTATCCGAAAGTCGATATAAGGTCGATTTTCACTCCAGTTATAGATTTCTACTCGAAATCTCTGGTTGTTTTGAGCGGTGCATTTTTCAGAAACGTTTTATCGTGCGACATTTTGTCTACACATTTCAATAGACGAATGCTTTTCAGTGTGCGGATCTGCCATCAACCTCATTTGCCGTATCGCCGCCATCGTCGTCGTATTGTGCTATATGTGATTCTGAGACGGATGATGGTTTTTCGCTGAGATGTTCACATCGATTCTGCAGGGAATGCTGGACTAAACACGCTTCATCGGCGATCGCTTCTGGTATCGC